AAAAAATTCTCATTAAAAAAAATATATATATATATATATATATATATATATATATATATATATACACACACACACATCATCATCATCATCACTTAAGACTAAACATTTTTTGAAGGGAAAACATATGTTCATAACATATGTTCAAAGCTAATTATTTTTCTTAAATGAATAAAGGTGGAAATAACAGACTTCCCAAATACACTCTTAAAAATAAAGGTGCTTCACGATGCCATAGAAGAACCTTTTTGTCTAAATGGTTCCATAAAGAACCTTTAACATCTGAACCAAAGTTTCACAAAAGGTTCTTTGTGGCGAAAGAAGGTTCTTCAGATTATAAAAAGGTAAGAAAGAGATGGTTCTTTAAAGAACCTTTGACTGAATGGTTCTTTGTGGAACCAAAAATGGTTCTTTTATGGCATCGCTTGAAGAACCTTTTGAAGCACCTTTATATTTAAGAGTGTATGTGAGCTATATTATTAAGTCGCTATCACCTTAAAGAGGATATATCTTCAAAACATATCATGCTCTTTTAATATACTATGTATAAATACTAAAACATTCACAACATAAAGCTCCACCCAAACCGTTTATGGAAAGTAACTTGCAAAAATGGCTTATAATAAGTTTAGGGTTACTAGTTAATTTTGGGAAGAAATTAATACATTTATTCAGCAAGCATGCATTACATTGATCAAAAGTGACAGTAAAGACATTTATAATGTCACAAAAGATGTATGTTATTTTAAACAAATGCTTTTCTTCTTAACTTTCTTTTCATCAAAGAATCCTGAAAAAAAACTATTGTTTTTTTTATATGGTTTCACAAAAATATTAAATATAACTGTTTTCAACATTGGTAATAATGAAAACTCTTTCTTGAGCATCAAATCAGCATATTAGAATGATTTCTGAATGATCATGTGACACTGAAGACTGGAGAAAATTCAGCTTTGCACCACAGGAATATATTTTATTTGAAAATATATTCAAATAGAAAACAGTTATTTTAAATTGGAATAATATTTCACAATATTACTGTATTTTCTCAAAAACATTTTCAAAAATCTTACCGAACCCAAACTTTTGAACTGTAGTGTATATATCAACACCTATTTAGTATTCAGCAACTTGACACATTCAGATGAACGACAGTTTTAAATATGCCACAGGAGTTTACATATAAAACAATAGTCTGAAGTGTCAAGCTTGAAAAACTATATTAAAAAAAAAAAAAGCATAAATGGATTTGTTAAGGTACAAGTTTGATGTTTGATGTCATGCCCTATTGGTTCCCAAACCAAAAAAACGGTGTGCCAGTTTCGAGAAAATCACATTTGGGAGCTGTAGCATAGAAAACTAAATAACAACTAAATGTTTTTTTTTTGTTTTTGTTTTTTGGTTCAGTCTGTCCTCACACATAGCTAAACATAATATGGACTACTTATATGTCTTTTTATGGCCTTAAAAGACTATGGAAAAATCCCCCACAAAAAATAAAAAAAATCTACTTTTGTGTTCCATATAAAGAACAACAGTATTTAATTTTGGAACAACATGAGCGTAGGCAAACAAAAATCAAATTTGTAATTTCCTATATTTAATTCTAAAGGTCAACGAGAGGGTGGAAAATAGCCAGGGAAACTACATTATGACTGTTTCGGGTGCAAGAAACATTGGCTAATATTACAAGTGGCCTTCTAGGGGAAAAAATAAACTGCAACAGAAGTAGAATATGGTCCATTTAAATAATTTCCTGGCTTTTGAAACATGCGCCTCTTTATTGGACAGCGAGGGCACCTAATGCTGGCGTGGTGATGGTGTTAGCATTGAGCTTTTGTTCGCTGGAACGCTTTCAGAGAAGAATAAAAAGGTGAAAATCTATTTAGTGGCTTTACACCATACCTAAAGTGTCAAAGCTTGAACAGAATGCTGGTGTGCGAGAAAAGAGACATAAAAATAGAGAAAACGCTGATGACAGAGGCGGCAGATCTGCTGTTATGCACACTGGCAGGTAGTGTATCAGAAGCCAAGGGTGGTTGTACTAATAGTTCTAAATACACCCCATGATGAGCTATTAGAAGAGGCTTTTTGTGAATGTGATAAATAAATCCTCTTTAGTCAGTGTGACAGTAATCCCAGAGCCCCCGTGCCTCCGTTCCTTACCAATCCATCAAGCGGCGCCTGCATATAATCAGCGCCGCATATTCCTCAAACGCGTTTCCATACGCTACAAAGACTTCCCCAAACACGCTAGCTGTATCTCTGGAAACTTCCAGTCTGTCTGGTCTCGGAGGAATACGTGAAACTTCACTTCCCATGATGCCTTGTTTCATCTTCACAGGTTGGAAATCAGCAAGGGGCACAATAAATGGGCACTTCTGGAAAGGGGCATCGTTTATCTGCGCTATAAGCAATCCAGCTCGTCTTACTAAGCCTATTACGTATTGGATTTCTGTTGCTGTGGCATAATTTATTTGAGCTGCTGTGGCTCAGAAGCAATAATACTTGTTTTTGATCAATTAAGAATGTCTTTGTGAAGGGTAAATACTCCATTGGGGTTTCTCAGTGAATTAAAAAAAACACACCAAAGATGTAATTCTACCTCAAATGAACAAAAAGAAAACATACATGAATGAGGAAAAAAGTATATTGTTCATTTCTAGAATGATAGTTGGGGAAAAAGAGTTCCTGCCAAAACAGTTACTGTAGCTTCTGTAAAATAATCATAAATAAATTTGGTGTCTCCTTTAGGCAGTGTAAGAAGCTCCAGAATCTTTCATTCGTAAAAAATAAATGTTCCAAAAGGGGGTTTTCGCAGTGATGCCATAGAAGAACCATTTTTGGTTTCCTGAAGAACCTTCAAGTGAACAGTTCTTAAAAGAACCAATTTTGTTTTGTCTTAGTGTGAAGAACATTTTAGTAATCTGAAGAACCTTTTTTCACTATACTGTAAAAACCTTTTGTGGAATGGAAAGGTTCCATAGATGTTAAAGCTTCTTAATGGAACCATCAATGCCAATAAAGAACTTTTATTTTTAATAAGAGTGTTCTGTTGGTTCATTTTTATTTGGTGAGAGTGGTGGCTGATACCAATGCAGTATTCATGTTGTGTCCGAATTACAGTATATGAAATGTAAATGCTCTGCTCTGGGCTGTTCATGATCTCAGAAATGATTGGTTTCTAATGTTCATAAAGGCTGTAATGGATCCATATTCTGCTTTGTTGGTGATGACAGCAAATACTTAATTACTTCATAAATTTGCATCTATATTCTCATGCAAAACATTGAAGAATGTACAATGAAGAAAAAGGTAACTCCAGGTAACAGTGGCTATATTAAAATATTAAGCAGCACTACTGTTCAACACTGATATTAGTAAGAACATGAGCAGCATTTCAGCATATTTGAATGATTTCTGATTTCTGATTTCTTATCAAAATTCAGCTTTACCATCACAGGAATAAATTACATTTTAAAATATATTATAATATATGTATATATTTTTTTTAATTTTAATAATATTTCACAATATACTGTATTTTTGTTAAAATAAATGCAGCCTTTCAAACATTTTACTGATCCCAAAATATCTGAATGGTAGTGTGTGTTTACATTACTGTTAGAATATTTCAAATGGGAAACATAAGAGCTTTCATTAAAAATTCTGCATTTCCAAATTATGTGTTAACAAAGATGAACTGTTTGTAAAACAGTCTGAAATGACTGTATTTTTTACATGACATGAACGCAGCACAACTTTTACATTAGTAACTATACCTATACTGGCATTCTGGAAGAAATTATAGTGATCATGGTAAAAAAAAATGAAAAAATTCTAGGGTGGAACAAGGACAGTGTTAAAAAAAAAACTTTGGTAGAAAGTTATAAATCACTGAATCTCTATCATCAATACTGTACAATACAAATGTTATTTGTCTGTGACAGTGTGTGCAAGTCTGGAGTGCTGTTGAAATGTCTGGTGTATGTGCAGATGATCTGTGATTTCTATCGACTCCGGCTGGACTGAGAGATGTGGTAGAAGGGATGGATTACCATGGTGATGAGGTATGTTGTTGCCCTCCAAGGTGGAGTGTCTTGGGCCTAGTGGCGGAGCACGAGCTTGCATTAGCAGACCTCTCCCAGTATGGCTCGCTGTGGAGAAACGTGGAAAAGCTCTTAACGGCCATAATGAGGGAAACATCAGCAACCAGAATGACCCAGAATTCACACAGATTATGAGTACAACTTCAATGAGGCTAAGATTTCACAAACAATTACATATATTTGATAAACTGAACTTTGAGTCGGTTTACCTTATTATATTTCAGAGACAGATTGAACAACAGATGGATAGAACGATAGATAGAACAACAGACAGACAGATAAGACAGATAGACAGACAGACAGACAGACAGACAGACAGACAGATAGACAGATAGATAGATAGATAGATAGATAGATAGATAGATAGATAGATAGATAGATAGATAGATAGATAGATAGATAGATAGATAGATAGATAGATTGATAGATTTATGTAAATTATGAAATTGTTGGAATGTAAATATAATGAAAAATTAATATATAATGAAAGTGAAATGAAATTCGTCAAACATGTATTTTCTTTTGATGTTTTCTGATGTTAGTAACCAGTATGAGAATTATTTACACCACAAAGCATATATTCTGTTAATGGTGAGATCTGAAAGACAAATAAAGCAGCATATAAGCTTACATATTGATAACTGAGAAAGCCGTTTGAGTGCTGCATTACACGCTGTAGCTCCGACCTTACTGAATCATTGCCAGCCTTTAGAATGTTTATTGGCTGATGTTAAACATGTATTTTTCAAAACAGTAGTTTAACATTAACAAATTTTCCGGGTTATTGATTCGGGGCAATGTGATTGACTCGTCTCTGGCGTGATGCGCTACAGATAGCGGGTGCCGTTCTAATTGCTCGGCATAAACGGCCTCGTTCACGCATTTATCTGTGGCACTCAAATGCTAAAGAGCTTTTATTTGTTAAGGGCTCTTCATGATCCCTGTTAAACACCGGAGGTTGCTGCAGGATGAATGGGGAGGAATTGGAAAGGCGAGGTTTTAACGGTAAAGGATTGATATCAGACCGGGGTGAACGCAGCCGCGTTCCTCTCTCTCCTCTAGATTGATGCTTTGCAATTTACAAACTTCTGCGGGCCACAATTCATTTAGCACAATAAATTCCCTGCAGGTATGGAGAGTGTCGCCATTCTACCACAAACTGAATGAAAACACCTACACACGCAATGCTCCAACACACACACATGTGCACGCGCACACACACCTACACATAAAGCACTGTCTCCCTGGCCCAATGCAGGCCCATTTTGATTTTGTTTCATGGCCGTAAAGGCACTGTATATTGCAGACAGCAGCAGAAGATTTGGTCCATTTTTCAAAGCCGACTATATTAGCCCTACACCACGCATTCTCTTTAAAAAATACCTTTTTTCCCCCACATGTTGGGAAAACTAATCCCCATCTGGTGCATTGTACTCTATAAAATGCTCCGACATGGCCTTTCCATGATTTCCAGGGAATCGGCGATATGATTGAAAATGTGTCCGTTTTGTAAGCAGGCCTGCTCCGGGTACACGTTCAAAACAGCACCGCTGACCCTGATGCCGTCTCAATCGCGTCAGACTTCCTGTGGACGCTAAATCCTGGTCCTATATGACTGCTTGACAATCGTACAAGCTGGAGAGAGAAATGAATGCATGATGTTTTTTCTGCTGGTTTGGCAAAGTGATTGTGAAACTATTATTTTCCAACAACAAAATTAATTATTTGTTGATTTAAATGGCATTTAGAAAGTACCATGTTATGGAAGCCCTTTAAAAAAAAAGGTATTTGCAACTTTTTATCTCACAATTTTGGACTTTTTTTGTCTTCACAAATCAGAATTTTTTTCTCAGAATTGCATGAAAAAAGTCAGAATTGTGATATAAACACATAATGTCACAATTCTAAGAAGTCTGAATTGTAAGATAAAAAGTCAGAATTGTGAGAAAAAGTCGCACTTATTTATTTATGTGTTTCATTCCACGACCGAAACAAACAAAAACAAAAAAAAAATGAATTGCGCGATATAAACTTAAGAATTGCGAGAAAAAAGTCAGAATTCTGAGTTTATACCTCACAATTCTGACTTTTTTTCTTAGAATTGCAAGAATTTTTTTTAGCCCTTTAAAAAAAAAGGTATTTGCAACTTTTTATCTCACAATTTTGGACTTTTTTTGTCTTCACAAATCAGAATTTTTTTCTCAGAATTGCATGAAAAAAGTCAGAATTGTGATATAAACACATAATGTCACAATTCTAAGAAGTCTGAATTGTAAGATAAAAAGTCAGAATTGTGAGAAAAAGTCGCACTTATTTATTTATGTTTCATTCCACGACTGAAACAAACAAAAACAAAAAAAAACTGAATTGCGCGATATAAACTTAAGAATTGCGAGAAAAAAGTCAGAATTCTGAGTTTATACCTCACAATTCTGACTTTTTTTCTTAGAATTGCAAGAATTTTTTTTAAATTGTTTTTATCTTGCAATTATGTGTTTATGAAACTAAAAATAAGTCTAATAAGTCTGACAGACAAAAAGAATAGAAATGTTACCTTGGCAACTAACTGAAATAAAGTACGTTTAAATACTAAAATAACTAAAACTTAAAAATAAATTAAAGCTAAACAGAAGAAACTAATAAAATTACAGATGACAAAAGAACATAAAATACTGTCAAATGAAAACTAAAATGACACCACTAATCCTAATGCGGTTTCTGATTTCCATCAGATGCTAAATCCTGGAGAGAGGCTGGAGAGAGAAGAGCGTCTGCAGGATATGTTCTCCTGTCGGTTTGGCCCAGACACTCAAAGTCAACAGCACATGCGATGTAATACAGGCCTCAGAATGCTGAAGATCTGCTCTGTGGGTTTGCAGTAGCATCTAAGGATTATTATCAAACAGGATGGTACCATGTCAGAACAGAGAGGCCCGTGCCAAAGGGCTGGCAGACTGAGAGAGGGAGGTTGGGAGAGACCACGAGTAGAGAAGAGATGAGGGAAAGGATATTCTTGAGTCTGTGGTATTCCGACAGTGTTCACAATATTGTTTCACAAAAAAAAAAATACACTCACAAAAGGCCAGGATGGAGGTACTGCAGACCCGTGCTGCATCACAGAGACCTTCAATCCGCACAAAACGAGCAGCGTGTCAATCAAACACAGGAACGCTCCACACACCTGTCATAACCTCGCAAAATAACACCTTATTTTCCCTCAGCTGCGTAAACGCAACAATCCGGAGAGACTAAGAAGAGACAGAAGGCAGAATATGATGAGAACTCAAACCCCAATCCTGGGAGAAAAAATGAAATACAGAGAACTCTAGACACTGCCTATATGGAAAGAGCTGAAAATATACCACTGGATGAACAAAAGGTAAGAGTTTTTGTAGTAAAACCACAGCTGCAAAAAGAGTCAAAAACTAAAGCATACATCACTGTCACTCCTTGCCAAAATCTCCTCCTGAGTAGTTTTCCTACGCTAACTTTTCCTAACCAACGCTGGTCTGGGATACAGTTCAAGTGGACTCAAGCACAGTTTGTAATTGGCACGAAAGCAATTCAATCAAAATTGCTGAAACATTTATTTTTATTTTATTTTTTATTTAAATTTTTGACAAAAATGTTGTTTAAATTTAGTCAAAAATTATTTCTGGTCATTAAAATGAAACTTTACCTTGAAACAAGTTTAAGTACTACAATTTCTAAAACAAAAATAAATTAAAGCTATATAGAAATACTACAAAATGACAAGCAAAATAAACAAATAAAATTAAACCAATAAAACCAAAATAATAATAATAAAACCATTGTTAAGGGCTGTTATAAATATAAATACATATTTATTAGAGAAATTTAGCCAGTATTTTGGTACATTACTGAAACAAATTCACGAAATTTACATTACAGAATTGACAAATTCTGACAATAATGGCCAATAAAACTATAACAGACAAAACATTAACCTAATATTCAAACAACAAACCAATGTTGTTATTGTTAACAAAAACTAGAACTGCAACTTAAACTATTTTAAGTAATTAAAATTAGAGATCGACCGATATATCGATTTACCGATATTTCCCCCTGATATTTAAGCATTTGACCATAATCGGATATCGGTTTTGTAATATCGGATTCACCGATAAACGCCGCCATCTTGTGGGTGTTTTGAAAATTGCGCACAGGATCGCCATTGCAGCGCGTCTGAGGGGAGACGAGACGACAACAACGCCATGCAGGTACTTGATTTGCTGTAGTTAGTAAACTTTATTTAACATAACAGCCATTTATGGACAAATTAGATGAATTACATAAATGATGATGTAGTTTATGCAGCTTGGCTCTAAGAAATAGTGACCAACTCATGGAGTCATGTAAAATAATCCGTCAAGTCCTGTCCCAATAAAGACATAACTTTGCCTGAATTAAATAATATGCAGCCATGAATGAGCGCATGTTGGAAATAAAAGCGCTGAATTATCTAAAAACTAACTAAAATAATATGTTTAGGTTAAGTACTACAATTACTAAAACTGAAATTAAATGAAACTAAATTTAAGGTATATAGAAATTTAAGTTCAAAAACTATTGAGTAAAACTATAAGACAAAATATTAGCCAAATATTCAAACAGAATACAAGTTCTGTTACTAAAACGAAAACAACAATTAAAAACCTTTTAGGGTCATTAAAATAAAAAATGTTTTCAGTAATTTAAATAAAGTTCAAATAAAACAAAATAAATATTAAATGAAAAACTTTGGCAACTGAAATAATATGTACCACAATTACTAAAACTAAAATAAAATAAATTTAAGGTATATAGAAGTTTATATAAGTTCAATAAAAATGCATATAACACAATTACTAAAATCTTAACTAAATTTAAAATGAAAACTAAAAAAAATGCAATATAATAATAAACACTATAACACCATGTAAATAATACTAAAATATCACTAGTTGATTTTAGAAATATGTACGCTGATGGTGATACACAGCTACACACAGAAAAATAAGGGGCCAGAATTGTACCTTTTGGGG